GGAGTTTGCTTGCAGTACGCTACAGATACAGATACACACAATTGCCGGATCCGATCCACCAATTGGGGGATCTGATCCGGCAATTTGGCAAAAGGTGGATCAGATCCCCTAATTGGTGGATCAAGTGGGAACGGGGTCTAAACTTCCAACTGTCTACTTTTTGTTTGTTTTAGAACAGATTCTTTTAACTGTTATCTGTTGTCTTTTTTTTTTTTTTTTTTTTTTTTTTTTAGCAATTACGGAAATTTTAATGAGATTGCTTTATGAAACAAAAAAATTCTTGAAAAAAAAACAAAAAAAAAACGAAAAAGCACATATTTTGACCCATCAATCTTTGCTTAGATTCTTTGCATATGACTTTCAAAGAATGGCAATTGAAATGAGATTGCCTTAGAAACAAACTAAAAATTGCCAGAACAAAAAACTAAAAACAAAAACCATTTTTTTTTTTTTTTATAGCAAATTTTAAAACATTATTCAATCTCTGTGGTGTGTTTCTGTAGTCCAGAAGTGCAAGATGTGGATCGGCTTTATCCACCTTCGCTTTTTTGATGAGATTTTTTGCTGTCTGAACTGATTTTTCTGCTCTGCCATTGGACTGGGGGTACAGCGGTGATGACGTTATGTGTTTTATGCCATAGTCCTTGGTGAACTGCCTGAACTCTGCAGATGTAAATTGGGGGCCATTATCGGTAATGAGCTCATCAGGGATCCCATATCGTGAGAATTGTTGCTTACAGCAAGTGATTACTGAAGACTTGGTGCTGGCAAGTTTGTTGACCTCGATGAAGTTTGAGTAGTAGTCAACCAACACCATGTACTATTCAGTTCATATCTCGAACAAATCAGAGCCAACTTTCTGCCATGGTCGGAGAGGAAGCCTCGTGTGGTATCATTGGCTCTTTGCGATTTTTGTGTTGGTTAGCACTGCATATCGGGCATCGACTAACCATGTCAGTTATCTGCGCAGACATGTTTTTTCATGATCGCCTCGAGCGGTTTATGATCAGTCTCCACGACAAAGGTTCGGCCAAACAAATACTGATGGAATCGCTCACATCCAAAAGTAATTGCATACAGCTCCTTTTCAATTTGTGCATAGTGACGCTGAGCTGGGGAGAGGGCTTTTGATGCATATGCCACTGGCTTGTTATCCTGGAGTAGGACAGCCCCTACACCATCTTTGGAGGCATCTGTGTTGACTAGCACTGGTTTAGCAATATCATAATACTGCAAAACTGGTGCTTCACTGACCAGCTTCTTCAGCTTATCAAAGCTAAACTGTTGCTCGGATGTCCAGTGCCATGCAATGTCTTTCTCCAGTAGCTTTCTGAGCGGAGCTGTGATGCCAGCCATGTTGGGTACAAACTTTCCAAGGTAATTAATCATACCCAGGAATTGCTGCAGTTCAGTTTTGTTGGATGGCTCTTGCAGGCTCGTGATTGCTCGTATTTTCTGCTTGTCTGGTTTCAGCCCTTCTGGGGGGAGCGTATGGCCAATGTATGTGACATTCGCGACTTTGAAGCGACATTTGCGAGGATTGAGCTTCATGTTTCTCTCCGCAACGAGCTGCAGTACGCGTTCCAGTCGTTCATCATGCTGTGTCTCGTTTTCACCCCATACTAGAATGTCATCCATGATGACCTCCACACCTTCAAAGCCTTCAAAGATCTGATTCATTGCTCGCTGAAAAATCTCTGGGGCTGAATTGATGCCAAAGGGCATGCGTAGGTACCGGTGACGACCATATGGTGTATTGAAGGTGCATAGCTTGGAACTCTCTTCATCCAGTTGAATTTGCCAATAGCCGCAATTGGCATCAAGTGTGCTGAAGACTTTTGCATTTGGCATTCTTGCAGCAACTTCTTCGACTGTTTTCATTGGATAGTGTTCTCTGCGTAGTGCGTCATTCAAATCTTTGGGGTCTAAGCATATGCGTACCTTGTCAGTTCCTTTCTTATGGACCACCACCATGCTATTGACCCCGTGGGTAGGCTGCTCTTCTTTCACGATCACTCCCAGCTTCTCCATTCTTTTTAGTTCATCCTGGACTTTGTCACGCATAGCCACCGGCACTTTTCTGGGTGCATGAATGACTGGTGATGCTTCAGGTTTCACATGGAGGTGCTGTTTGCCCTCAAGGCATCCCAGACCCTCAAATACATCATATTTGTTGAGCATGTCAGGGCCAGTATTGTTCTCAAGTGTTTCAATGCGCTTGATCAATCCCAGTCGTTCGCATGTGGTCAGCCCGAGAATTGGTTGCACTCTTCCACGAAGAACTTGAAACTCTACGTCAAACATTTTGTCCTTGTATTCGCAGAGCATGGTGCATTTCCCACTGGGTTTCATTTTGTCACCAGTGAGCGTTGTAGCTTGGTGCATAGCTTGTGATGCACGCTCTCAGGTATGACATTGCACTGTGCACCGGTGTCTAGTTTGAACCGTACAGTGCGACTCGTGACTTTCAAGTCAAGCATCCAGTCGGCTGATGTGTGGTGATCTTGTAATTTCACCATATCTACGAAGAATTCATCTTCTGTATCAGAGTCAAAGTCAGAATGTTCAATTCCATGCACTGTCTTGGATGCATGTTTTTTCCAGGTGTACGTTTTTCTTGGGACATGCAAACATCAGCAAAGTGGTTTTGTTTACCACACTTATTACATGTCTGTCCATATGCCGGACAATGTCCTCGTTCATGTTGCCTGCCACAGTATTTACATGCTTTCGATCCATATCTATCATGTCTATCAGGCCTTGTTGCTCTGTGAGTTTGGTTTGGTTTGCGAATTGCATGGACTGTGCTCTGTGCCCCTCCAGATGTTGTTTGCCCAAGCTTTGACTTGCTTGCTTCGGCAGCTCTGCAAATTTCTATCGCTCTTTGCAGATTCAAATCTTTCTCACGAAGTAGTCTGGCTCTAGTTGCATCATCATGGATGCCAACGACAATTCTGTCCTTGATAAGGCTATCAAGTAATGTCCCAAACTCACATGTCTGTGCCTTTTTCTTTAGGTCGGTGACAAACTGATCATACATGTATGACTCGCCTGGAGCTTGAGAGCGTGTATTAAACACATGTCTCTCATAGGTCACATTCCTTTGTGGCTCAAAGTATTCAGTGAATTTCTTGAGGAGGATTTCTAGCTTGTCTCTATCCTCATCACTGTCAAATGTGAAGGTATTGTACATTTCAAGTGCTTCTTCTCCAATGACATGCAGCAAGGTGCAGCACTGCACATGCATCGATTTCTTCTCCATACCTGATGCAGTCATATACAGCTCTCTGCTTCCATTTCCTCCAATTTTCAGCAATATGTCCATCCATTCTGAGTCCATCTGGGGGCCAGATGTTATCCATGCTTAATGAGGTTTGTCAAACTTTACTTCTGACACCATGTAATGATCGGATGTATCGGATTGAATAAGAAGCACACTTGAGATGTTTCAGCTAGCTAAGAATAGTGTATTGAGTCTAAACAAGATGGCTGCCTACATGGACTACAATCTCACATGGCTATGTGCTCTAGACAATAGAGGGCGCTATGCATAATTATAAGTGGCATAGTTACATCATGAATGCACACATTCATTACAGAGTAGGTGAATTTTTCAGTGGGGGGGGTGCTGGGGGGGGGCTGGAACATTTCATGGGGGGCGTAATGTAGGGGCGTCAATCGCTTCTCAAAAGTGGGGGGGGGGGACATACCTTGATCAGAACTGATGCGAGTGCGAAGCGCGAAGCCCTTACGGAAAGGGGGTTCGGGGCCCGCTTAAGGGCCCCGAAAAAATTGGATTCTAGATGTTCTGTGGTGTGATCTGAAGCAATTTCTTACCACTTTCCTCCATGCTTTAACTAATATTTTCTTAGCAAACGATAATGATTTGAACACCGTTTTCGAGGTTGGAGTCACTGAATCAGCTATCGGTATTCTGAGCTATAGGCGTGGGGTTCGGGGTTCACTTAATGGCCCCAAAAATAATTGGATTCTCAATGCTCTGTGGTGTGATCTGAGGCAATTTCTTACCACTTTAACCAATAATTATCTTAGCACAAAAGATAATAATTTAAACATAATTTCGAGGTTTTCTCAGCTAAAGGCATAAGAAAACTTTTTGAACATTGTTTTCGAGGTTGGAGTCATTGAATCAGCTACCAGAATTCTGAGTTATAGGCATTGGGTTCGGGGCCCCGAAAAATGTTGGATTCTAAATGCTCTGTGGTGCTATCTGAGGCAATTTCTGACCACTTTAACCAACATTTTCTAAGCAAAAGATACATTGTAGTACATAATAGGGCCCTGTAAATGAGACTCGAGTTCAAAAATCTGGGGGTGGGGACATTTGATATTGTGTCATTTGATATTGTGTTTTCCAGATGTGGAGCCATCGTGACCACACCCTTTTAGGGGCGTGGCAGCCATATTGAAAAAAAAAGGGGGCGGGGTTCTCATTATGCCCAACATGGAAAAAAATGTGCCCACATCTCATAAACGAATGAAGCTAATTCCCACAGACATTAATATTCATGAGAAAAAAAAAGTCACACGTGAATCCATCGTAAACACACCCTTTTAGGGGCGTGGCAGCCATAGTAAAATGGGGGGGGTGTCATGATGCCCCTATAAAAGAAAGTTATGCCTACCTTTCATTAATGGATTAAACTCCACACGGACAATGTATTCATGAAAATCTTTCCTTTTTTTAATTTGAAGCCATCACAAATTTATCCTTTTAGATGCATGGCATCTATTTTAAAAAAATGGGGGGGGGGGGCTACTAATCATTTGCCCACCATCGAACTTTCATAAATGACTAAACTTCACACAAACTTGGTGCAAGATAATAAATTCTTATGTAGAGCCACAGCAAACTCATCCTTTTAGAGGTGTGAGGGGCCTACTCACTGTGCCCACAATTGCAATTTTTATATTTTGTATAATGTTGATTTGCCCATAACCTATACTTTTTGGTAATACAATGACTTACACCAAAGAGCATGGGTAAGTACCGGTAGGCTAACCCATGTTGTAGGGTTCAATGTGTGTACTTGCACCTATATCATCATGCACATCTAAATTCCAGAGTGATTTCATAATTACAAATACACAGCACACAATGGCAGCCCTAAACTCTAACATTTAACATTAAAGGGCCATGGAAATCCTTTTTTACGGTGGGGGGGGGGGGGTGTAAAATTCCCCTACCCCTTACCCGTTGCGCCGCATGGACAGCAGATTGGGTAACAACACGATGTACTCGCCTCACAAAGTGGTGGAGACGTCCACTATGACTTCACATTCAATGAATCTGTGTACCCCCACCACACAACACCTCTGTTCTCTTAAAAATGGTATATCAAGCTCTTATGAGTGTTTTTTTTTTACCCCGACCAAATCCATTAAAAAAAATTATACGTTATACAGGTGCCACACTGCATATGCATTTTGGTCTGTCAGAAAAAAAGGCAGGGGAAACAATGTATTTGAAGAAGTAACACTAGTCTTTCCAGGACTAACTGAGGTACCCCAGTTTATACCCCCAATTCAGATATTGCTGCAGTTGAAAGGTCAACAATAATTCTACAGACGAAAGAACCAGTAACTGGGTTAATTAAGATGAGGCAAGAATGCATAGTGTAAGAAAACAAAGGGTTTGTCAACAGTAAATTCCAACTATAAAGGCGGCCTACTCCAACACATTAAACAGCTATCTGAGGTGGATTTTATTATATGAAACGTGGTCAAAATTTTCCACGTTGTGCATATTGAGTACCCTTCCTTTTAAAAATGGATGCCGCCCCTCTAAAAGGGTAGGTTTGTGATGGCCTCACATTAAAAAAAAAGAAGATTTTTATTGATATATTGTCCGAGTGGAATTTAATCCGTTTATGAAAGGTAGGCACAACTTTCTTTTATAGGAGCATCATAACTACCCCCCCCCCCATTTTATTATGGCTGCCACGCCCCTAAAAGGGTGTGTTTACGATGGCTCCACGTGTGATTTTTTTCTCGTGAGTATTAATGTCTGTGGGAATTAGCTTCATTCGTTTATGAGATGTGGGCACATTGTTCCCATGTTGGGCATAATGAGAACCCCGCCCCCCTTTTTTCAATATGGCTGCCATGCCCCTAAAAGGGTGTGTTCGCGATGACTCTACATCTGGAATTGTTTTTCTCAGAATGTCAATGTCTGTGGAAAGCTCCATTTCTCTTTGAATGTGGGAACAATATTTCCAGGGTGGGCATAATGAAAACCCCGCCCCCCCTTTTTCTGATATGGTTGCCACGCCTTTAAAAAGGTGTGTTCGAGATGGCTCCACATCTGGAATTTGTTTTCTCATGAATGTCAATGTTTGTGGAAAGTTCCATTTCTCTATGAGTGTGGGAACAATATTTCCAGGGTGGGCATAATGAAAACCCCGCCCCCTTTTTTGTTCCTTATATGGTTGCCACGCCCCTAAAAGGGTGTGTTCGAGATGGCACCACATCTGGAATTTTTTTTCTCAAGAATATAAACGTCTGTGGGACGTTTTATTCGTTCATGAAATATGGGCACAATGTTTTCCAAAGTGGGCATAATAATTAAACCCTCCCTTTCCTTTTAATGGCTGCCACGCCCCCCAAGAGGTACTTTTGTGGTGGCGCCGAATCTTAAAATACTATTCATAAATGCCTCAGACAGTTTAGCTATTCCTATTGGTTGAGAGCCCGTCACGTGGCCGGTCTTAAACGGATGATAAAGACATGGCTAGCTGGTCTTAAACACTTTTCCAGTGTCACAATAAAATGTGGACTCCTAAAAATCCAGTGCCTCTTACCATTTCATTGGTTGAACGTTCACAATCCTCACGTAGGCATGCGCAACACTACATGCGAGTCAGAATTTTATAGTTCTAAATTCAAAACGCAACGCCCCAGGTGCGTTCTGCGCGACATCGCGCAGAACATGCTACGCGCGCGTCAATCTCCATAAAAGGGTTGTTTACATCTTACTCGCCAGCTGAACACTCCATTATTTTGCTAGAGGGATGTTTCAAAAAGCATGAAGTGAACTTGTTGAACAAAATCGGGATTTTTTGAACGAATTATTTGATTTTTTTTACGGATAAGGTATTTATGAATGGGAATAAATATGTGCTCGGTCGGTATTTATCACTCTGTTTAATACCGTTAGAGTCTGGGTGCTGATAATTACCCTCGCCTCCGGCTCGGGTAATTATCAGCACCCAGACTCTAAGCGGTATTAAACAGAGTGATAAAAACCTCTCGAGCACACATTTATTCCCTTAATAATCTATATAATTATGTCTTTGTGAAGTTTCCTGCTTTTGTAACAATTGGGAAAAACCGTTTTCACTGCGGGCACAACAAGTCCCGCCCCCTTTTTTAAAATGGATACCACGCCCCTAAAAGGGTAAATCTGCGATGGCTCCACATCTAGAACATTTTCTCGCATGAATATTAACATCTGAACCAAGTTTTGCGCTTTCATGCAAAAGTGCACAATTTTTTCACATATCCGCTGGACTACATGTGGATCATTCGCGACTATTTAGATTTAGATGAATGATAATTTTTTTAGAAACTCAAAATCTCAGTGGGGGGGGGGGGGGGGGGGGGCGACTGGGGGCGGCGGCAAGGTTTCGGGGGGGGGGGAATTTAAACAAACATCATAACACATTCTCGATTCAGATCATCAGTAGTTTTGCACTGTGTGTAAGACAATTAGCTGTTCACTGTCTACATATGACTCCGTAGTTGGTCATTAAAGTGGAACTGACAGTCTTAAAGTCATGGTTTAGATATAACCCTGCATCCGGGTCAGATTGGACCTGACCCCTTCTGGGTCAAAATATTTTTTTTGGTCAAATGGCCAGAAAGGTGACTTCATATAAGCGTGATTTTGACCCGGAAAAATGTCAGGTCAAATTTGAGCTGGATTTGTGTCGAATCTGACCCGAGAATTTTTAGAGTGTCTATGATTTGCTGATTGGGTCAATGAGAATGGACAAGGAACTGTAGATTCGTGCTAAGAATGGACGGGGCGAATCTTGCACAAATCTACAGTTCCAAGTCTGTTCTCCAACTTTAACTATTTCTTAAAACATTAGTTTATGCAAATAAGATCCCTGGTTTACCACAATCTCCACGTTTGTTAATAAGTGAAGATTTCACATCTGGAAACTTGTTGAAGTGGCAAACACAATGACTGTAGACTAAGTTCAAATCTCTATGCGCGTGCATGAAAACGCCACTAATTTGAAAACCCAGTGGATATATGGTATTTGTTGATTTCTGAGGCTGTATGGGTGGTTTGGTCCATTTCCAAGTTGAGACTTGTTGGCCTGACAACAGTTGTATTGATGCATCACGTTAAAACAATGAGACGTTTTGTGATTAATTCAACCTTAGATGGTAAATACACGAAGCCTACATTTTGTAAATAAAATGATATTTTTGGAGACTCGTTCGCCAAGTGGCTTTATTACGGTACTTAACAGGCGTGCAACTTTTCCTCTGATCCGCTGATTTCCTCGTTTTTAAGTACTTCTCACGAATGCCATAACAAATTGAAAAACACTGCCCAAAGTCTTGTGTGGTTTGGAATATCCTTGTTTTTTCCCTAAATTCCCAGTTGCATGCCTGACTTATGAAAAACAGTAAAAAATTCAGCATTACCAGGAGTAGTTTTGGGATTATTCCAACCACCAATTACTGACTTTTTTGTAAACATTTGTATTTAAAGAATGTTTATGTCTATAGGCCGAATAAAAATAACAAACATGCTTCTCGTCCGGGTTTTTGGAGAAAAGGAGAAAGAGGGGCTTTTTATTGTTTATTTTTAATTTTTTTTTCAAGATCGCCGCCATTTTAAAATTTCCTGCAACCGTTGGTGTTTCCACTGTTCAAAGACACTTTCAAAACAAAAGACAAGTTGGACAAGAGAACTGAATATATTTACAGTGTCATTTAGGGTTGTATTCGTCTACAATGAACAGTTTTAGATGCATTTGCTTTAACCGCTGAATTTGTGGACCTTTTCGGTGTTTTGTTTACTGTATTTTTCAAAAATAAAAAATAATAAAAAAAATCCAGGCGGCCACCAAAAAGGAAGTGGGCGGGGACGAGAAACTTGTTGGCCTGACAACAGTTGAATATATGTATCATGTTAAAACAATGAGAAGTTTAAACAATGAGAAGTTATGCGATTATTCCAAGATGGAAAACACATGTATATTTTGTAAATAAAATTGTATTTTTGGAGACTCATTGGCCATAGTGGCTGAATTGTGCGTGTATAACGGTTCAAAAAATTAAGTATTACCCGGAGTAGTAGACATATTTTTTGGTCAAATGGCTAGAAAGGTGACTCAAGAGAAGCGTTATTTTGACTCGGAAAAGTGTCAGGTCAAATCTGACCCAGATTTGGGTGGAATCTGACCCAGGATTCTGACCCAGAGTGTGTATGATTTGCTGATTGGGTCAAGAAGAATGGACAAGGAGCTGTAGATTCGTGCTAAGAATGGACGGGGCGAATCTTGCACAAATCTACGATTCCAAGTCTATTCTTTGACTTGAACTATTTCTTATTACAACAGTAGTTGATGAAAATAAGATACCTGGTTTACCACAATCTCATGTTTGTGAATAAATGTAGATTCCACATCTGGAAACTTTTTGAAGTGGGAAACAAAATCACTGTAGACCTCAAATCTCTACGTGTGTGCATGAAAACGTCACTAATTTGAAAACCCAGTGGATATATGGTATTTGTTGATTTCTGAGGCTGTATGGGTGGTTTGGTCCATTTCCAAGTTGAGACTTGTTGGCCTGACATGTTAAAACAATGAGAAGTTTTGTGATTATTCCAATCTAAGATGGTAAATACATGTGCATTTTGTAAATAAAATTCTATTTTTGGAGACTCGTTTGCCAGGTGGCTTAATTAATTGTACTTGAGTAAAATGGTTGAAATATTAAGTATTACTCAAAGTAGTTTTGGGATTTTGTACATAGGTGGTTTTGTTTAAAGAAAATTGGTTATATTTTGTTTATATTTTGTACAAACTTTGGTACAAAGGTTGGTGGGAAGATCAGTTTTAAAAACTGCTAAAAGATGAAGGAATAACTGATTTGACCCAGCATTGAAGGGGTGGGAGGGTTGTTTTCAAGATTATATTCATTAGAAATTAAAACTACAAATGAAATATGAAAATAAGGATATCCTTTTTTTCTTCTTCAAATAAACCATAAAGGGCAGCTGATTGGTGCGTTATAATTTCATTAACGTTGTTTTTGTTATTTAGAAAAAACACAATATTCTGGCATTTGGATGTAAATGGAGTTTGATGACAAATTCACTGTCTGTATTTTGTAGTGGTTGAAAACGCTAAATGTTTCTTTTTATTTATGAAGTTTTTAAATAAAAGACTTTTAACATTTATATCTGTAATCACACATTAATAGACCCTCTCTTAAACATTACTAGAAAATTCTCCTTTTTTTCAAGTCGGGCAAGTCCAAGAAAACGTCTCCTTGCAGTCCCATACATAACATACCTTTATTGTCTTTATCACAAATACTTACACAAATTTTTGTGGGTACAGTATTCTCCTTTCAGATGCCCAACAGTAGAATACAAAAAATGCACTGATATAATTGCGTTTTAGACGGTTAAACTTTCCTGGGACGTAACGTGTGTGAATTCTTGAACTTGCCCAGTAATAGCCTGATGGAGTAGACATATGGATTGCATTCAGGTTTCATATTAAAATACATGTTGTTAGTATCTCACAATTGTTTCTGGTGTGATCATTTTGTGTCAGTCACATTCTGTTGTATTGCATTTTACCTTAAGATGAGTATGTGAGGAAGAGTGTATAGTGTGTGACTTTCTGGTTTGCTCAGAATTGAATGGTTCAAACCCAACATCATCCCTGTCCTCTTTGACAGATATTCAAACACAATCCAGCCCATGTGTTTATCAGATACCTGATTACCCTATTATCCGTGTTTTCTGTCTGCCGTATGACATACTTTTTTATTTGTACACATTGGACCGAAACAGTTCAAAGAAAATGCCGTTATTGTAGATTTACGCTCAGGATATTTTTGTAAGCATGTTGTCCCAAAAAGTTAGGCCTAAACCGCATACGACAAGTGTGAGTTCCCCACAATTACGGAACAAGATTGTGTGGAGTGCTCATCAGTGTGACGTTGATGTACAGAAGGGGACTGTGTTACAATGCTAGTATTATTACAACTTTTATAAGGTACAGGCAGGCGCGGATACTTTTGTTGGGGGGGGGGTGCCCCTGCTCCCGGCCCCCCTGCTCACACCAAAAAATTTAAACTAATACTAATAATATTTACCCATATGTCCGCCTGTCCGCAACACTCGAACATAGAGGGGTAATTTATTTTTTTTTACACTAGTGTGCGATATAATGTGCCTGATTGTCTGAATTGAACAGCGCCTCCATTGGAAGAATTGTACCAGCCTCCGGAGTGTCCGGAGAAAAAACCTACCCCCCCCCCCCACCCCCCGCACAAATTCCTGGATCTGCCCCTGACAGGTCTGTATTTTCATGCCCAGCTGGTGAACAATGCTACTCACAATTCAGCCTTTGTAAAACAGAACCCCAGAAGAGAAATTCTTAACTACTTTTCTTGTTTTCACTTGAGCAAGTGATTCAAAAAGAGCGATTCCTCCATGGTCAACAACATTTTATTGATGTCTGATTTTTTTTTTTTTCATTTTTATTCAGTACAGGCTTGAGCTGTGGAGCAGAAGAGAAGATTACAGTTGGTGTGACAGACATATCCATGCTGCAACGAAAGAACGCATCAAATCAAGTATTCATGTAAAACAATTACCCTTATTACATTCTTTCTCTTCATTTGGCTGAGAGTAGGTCATAAATGTATGGTGTTCAGTATTTTATATTAATACAACACCTGAATATATCTCCCTCATCTGATTGCAGGGAAAGCACTATCAGAGTTGATCCAGCCAATGGATGCGCGCATCGCGTCTGTCCGTGACTTCATCCACGATATCAAACCACGCATCTTACAATCAGACTCCATCGTGCCCATCACGGATCCTTACGGCCCCAGCGTGGTGGATCCAGACATGAGGTGCATTGTGGTCAGTGAGGAGACCAAGAAAGGTGGAGATGCTGTCAATAGGGTCAGACAGGAAAAGGTATGCGCCAGCTTGTATGCTTAGTTAGGTGAAACAATACTATTTGTTTCATTGCTGGTTCCATAGGGCCTATCTTTGACCCCGTTCCCACTTGATCCACCAATTGGGGGATCTGATCCACCTTTTGGCAAATTGCCGGATCAGATCCCCCAATTGGTGGATCAGATCCGGCAATTGTGTGTAGTGGGAACGCTAACCGTTATAAGGTGGATCAGGATCAGATCCACCTTTTCTGATCCACCTCTGGACCAGGATACAGATCCCCCAATTGGTGGATCAGATCCGGCAATTGCCGGATCACGATCAGATGGGAACGCAAAAGGTGGATCTGATCCGGCAATTTGACCTGTTAACATCCGCCCGGTGCACGAGTGGCGCGAAAATGTTGCGGTCTCATGAACGAAGAAACACGTTTTCAGGCGTGTAGCTCATGTGAACATTTCCAGCGTATACAACATGCACAATAAACAACCGCTGAACTACGGGCTAGCACCGCGCATGCAAAAGCGCACGTGGTATCCTAAACTACACTATATAAGCCTTATTTTTGTTGCGTGTTCGTCCATTACTAAATCTTTTTCATTCCTGAAATTTTACTTATTTTTCCATCCATAAATGACTCTGAGTCCGCACTCACCAAAAGACTTCACTTTGGCACAGAATCATGGAAAAGCTTACGAGTATGCGATGAGAATAGTGCCGATAACGCGGTACGTACGTACGGAGGTGACAAATCTGAAGTATTGATTATAGAAAATTAGAAATTGATGTCGTAGTACATCTTGTGACCGTTTCTAACCAATGAGAAGCTTCAGAACCAGGGAATCCCTTATCGATGCATTGGTGTCTGCCGTGATGTCACACAATGAGCGGCTCTGTTGGATTTCACCTGTTAATTTATGCACGCACGGATCCTCTACAGATCCGTGATTTATGTTGGTGAATTCGCTTATTTTTTGTCGATGAATTCTGATAGTGCTATTTGAAAACTGACCCATCCTGGGCTAGCATGCAACCATGCAACAATGGCACTCCCACAGAGCGCGCGTAATTCCGAACTCAGTGACCTTTCGGACCCAACATTTCCGTACGAAAAGGTGGATCAAGCATAAGTGGAAACGCGACTTGCGGTTTCGTTGCGGTAAGATAACGATCACACCAAATTGCTGGATCTTGATCCACCTTTTCCCAATTCAAGTGGGAACGCGGTGTTAGTGTCTTCTTGGCACATCTAACTGAATGACTCACTGTCTGTTAGTTTGTGAAGAATTTTAGTTTAAGGTAGAGTAAATCATTTGCAGCTATCCAAAAAGTAACTGACGAAATTATTGTTGAAAAGCGTACTTGGTTTAAAGATAGTAATGGCACTAAACTCCCTGTGAAATTATTCATTCTGGCATGCTGTCTTTTTGAAGAAAACACTAAAGGAAGGTCTTTTCCAAAGATGCATCTGAAGACGCATATTTTTGGAAATTTCTGTCGGTAGTTCGTTTTGAATTCAGTGAAGCTGTGAATGGGTGCGCGCAGGCATTGACACGACGCACACGTACGCGCGGTTACTGTAATGCTTCGGTTCAGTGCGTGACATCATGTAGCTGCAATCGGCTGAAGGAGAACGTGTTCTGGATGCTGATTTCGGGCGCAATTCAAAACATGACTCAGCAACTTTTGGATTGAAATTGAGATCCTAGAATATTGTTTTCTCTGAATATACAGCATTCACTGAGCTAAAACTTCATCAGGTTAGTTGTTAAGCACTCTTCTTTAGATTTTGAGCACTTTTGTTGCTTCAAATGAATAAAAAATGCTCCAATGACAAATGACTTACTCTACCTTAAAATCATTGTAGCAATACCAAACAAAATTTCAAAAGAGACGAAAATGCACCCCTCCCCCCAAAAAATGAACAAATTTGAAGAAAATATTTTGACTTTTGGATATATTTATTTGCGTGTTTCAAGATTTGAGAGTATTATTATCAGGCTTTGAAAATAATTTTTTTTAAATCTTGCATTCAGGGTCTGTGTGTACTAGACATACATGAGATATCTCTAGTAGAGGACATCAATCATGCTGCACATGAAGAAGCTAAGATAAGTTCCTCAACACAAAGGATTCGACTCCTGGGAACACTGCTCAAGCAACCCACGGTGAGTAATGCAGTGTTGCATTCATGTTGCATTCAGGGTCTGTGTGTACTAGAGGTACATGAGATATCTCTAGTAGAGGACATCAATCATGCTGCACATGAAGAAGCCAAGATAAGTTCCTCAACACAAAGGATTGGACTCCTGGGGCGTTTTCGAATCCCTGTTCTTAACAACACGCGTGTAACACGAGAACATGTTCTCGAGCTGGTTGTTACGAACGCGCGGGTGTGTGTCGCATCGATATAAAGCAATGCAAAATGGCCGACAATCGTCTGAATTTGTACTTAGGCATGTTAGGCCTATTCCAAATGAACGAGGACGACTGTTGCAAAACCAGACATGCGGGGATGAAATTGCAGACCTGCACTATACTAGTATTCTTATTCAAATCATTAGGCAAAAAAAACAACAAAAAAAACAAATTACGAATCTGCACAGTCCGCCATTTTGTTCAAGCTGCACCTCGCCGAACCCTCCATCAACTGGGGAGTGAAAAAATCGATCCGCGAACGCCCTCTCGGGTCTGTTCGTCACGTTTGAGACCGCTGTTCTCGTGTCGGGTTAACCCGAGTGTTGTCAAGAACAGGGATTTGAAAACGCCCCTGGGAACACTGCTCAAGCAAACCACAGTGAGTTTTTAGGCTAAAAGTGAAACCCTTTTCTGCGGAGTGTCAAGGTTTCGTTGTATGGCTATGCTAACCACAGAATATAAACCATTCACAAAACAGTTGCTCTGTCAGGTTTCCATGAAGAGACCACTTATTGTAGTGCATTTTCCAATTCCATTCAATTATGCATGGATTATATTCAATAATTCACATTTTGCAGTGAAACACTGAGTTAAAGATGAATTTAGAAACAAAATATATCATACATTCTAAATAAAATAGTATCGAGACTTAAAAGTTATTTGCAAACATTTAAAAATGAAATTGTCAAAATGTCATGAAATATCCTACTCGATTGTAAGTAAATAATAGGATCAAGCATCCTGTGAAATCATTGTGGCTACTAAGCTGCCATTTTTGAGAAGAGAAATTACCATCATTTCCAAACCATCATACTGTCCAATGGGAACCTATGCTTTGAAAAGTGACGACGCATTTTTTGGAAGTTTTCTCAAAAAGTACGATATCTACTGAGCTGAAATTTCAACAAATTTGTTTTGTTCAATAACTGCTTCAGAATTATTAAATTGTTGTTCCTTGAGTTAGCAAAATGGTGTCCATTACCTTTAAACTTCAATTAAATATGCTTCTCAAACCACTGGATTTAAAACGGCTGCAACCTGTTATATTAAATAATTATAATAAAAACAGAGGTGTAAGTATTCTTATTAAAAAGACATTTTAGTAAAAGATAAGATAGAGCAAAAATAAGGATAGAGTTCTGATTTTCATCGGGTTTTTGTTGCAGTGAAATGTTGTATTTGTAGCATTTTGAGTAACAAGGAAGATGAGTGGTTTGCAAAAATGAAACAAAAAGTGGTTTTCTCTATAGTCCTCCCAAGATTGAAATCGGCACTTGCAAAAAAATTCTTTGTGGGGAACAAAGTAAATATCTGCATGGGGTTCAGTTTTCCTTTCGATAAAATTGTTTGGAGAGGTTGGATTTCATCTTTTACCAATTGTTTTAAAACTTGCCCCATAGAATAAAGATCTACCTGGCACTCCATACGTGATTGGTCTGACCGGCGGCATAGCCAGCGGGAAGTCTTCAGTATGTAGACGGCTGGAGGGGCTCGGTGCTGCAGTGATTGACTGTGATAAGCTGGGTCACAAGGCCTACCTACCAGGCACGCAGGGATTCAGGAGAGTGCTGACTGAGTTGGGACAAGGTGGGTGCTGGAAAAACTCCAAAGTATTTTTCAACAAGATAAAGCAAGTCTAGTAAAGCTGAGTGGACAACATTCACAGAGCGGAAAACATATTCTTTTCGTTGTTGGATTGAAAATGAGATTTGAAGGTTTGCATGGTGGACATGAACAATGAATGGGTAGTTTGCGGTAACACAATGTGAATGATATCTCTTTGTAAAGTTGTGTGGTTCTGAGAAGAACCAGTTGGTTTGAAAGTTTGAAAAAATTATTCCCACATGGTGTTTCCGCAAACCTTTCATTCATTAGTATCTCCGCCATGCAAAGCCTCAAATCTTACTTAAGAACCAGTTGGTTTAACTCGACGTTTCGAATAGTGTGCTGTTTGTCAACAGGAGGTTGATGACAAACAGAGCATACTGTTCGAAAGGTCGAGTTAAAACAACTGGTTCTTCTCAAAACCACACGACTCAAAAGAGATATTCACATGGTGTTACCGCAAACCTCCCGTTCATTGGATTGAAAATGGCTGAAAAGTTTGTAGACTAAGCTGTAGTGGTATTACGTGATGGAAATGAGAGTTTCACTGTCGGTCCTCGCATGGAGTCTTGACTTACTGCAAACACATGTATCATGAAGGTACAAGAAATGAGCTGTGTCAGTCTAATGGACATCTGGTATCCACTAATGCAATGACAGTCATTTTCTGAGGTGGTGCTGCGGTGGCACCAGGCTCGTGTGAGTAGCGCTCAGGTAGTACGCACGCACTCAGGGGTCCTTGGACCAATAGGGTTACCAACGCACATGCATCTGGTCTTTAAGAAATTGCGCAGTATGCACACGAGTGTGGTACTACCTAATAATGGCTTCTAATTTTGTTTGGCGAATTACACTGTAGATGATACATGATTTACATGAATAGACAAGCCTCGTAAAGCTGCTCCTAGACTGGTGTAAGTCACAAGGGATAGTCAGTCAGTGAGATAAATAGCCAGCCTAATTCAAAGGTGACTGTCAGTCGGTGAATCTGGGCGGTATAACAAGGACTATAGGCTGAACCCGTCTGAGACGGTCAACAAAATTCTGGTACCGGCGGGAAAATTTGTCACCGATTTCGATTATTTTGAAATCATCAACTGTGAAAGGTGTAAAACGTATTTGTTCCGCAGATGTTGTTGGGGGCTGATGGAAGCATCAACAGACGTGCCCTCGGCGCCAAAGTCTTCCAAGACCACGATCCCTTCTGGACCGGCTGAACCAGATCGTCTGGCCGGAGATTGCCAGCATGGCTCAGGAGGAGATGAGGGTCCTGGGTGATGGAGGATGCCTGGTGTGTGTGCTGGATGCAGCCGTGCTGATTGAAGCTGGGTGGGAAGGCTTCTGTCATGAGGTGTGGTCATGCATTATTCATAAGGATGAGGTGAGTCACGCCTCCCATTGAGAGATCAAAGCTGTGTGGGACAGGTTCTGCCATGAGGTCTGGTCATGCATTATTCATAAGGATGAGGTGAGTCACGCCTCCCGTTGGGAGATTGAAACTGGATGGGATTTGGGATCTGCTATGAGGTGTGGTCATGCATAATTCACAAGGATTAGGACAGTCACGCCTGCCATTGATGAGTGAAGCTAAGTGTCATGCATAATTTATAAGGATGAGGTGGGTCACGCCTCATTCATTATGATAAGGCCACGTCCCTTTGAGCATCTGTGCACATGGTGTTATCATTGGACTAGCCCATTTTGTTACATTTAGTGCAAAATTCATAAAGATGGATATGAATCATTCACTAGTATGAAAACAGTCATGTGCACTTCTCAGTCACTCTGAAATTTTACTCCGTTCTCATTATGTGATACTTCTCAACAGAGTAAGAATTGATCCTGAATTTTGACTTTGGTGACATGGTCGTTGTCTTTTCCATTTTTTTTTTCAATGTTATTTTTGCCAGGCCTTGAAGCGTATTCTAGACAGGGATCGTCTACCAGAGGAGAAGGCACGACAGAGCATAGAATCCCAGCTCAGTAACCAGGAACGTGTGGATCATTCCAATGTTGTCTTCTGCACCTCCTGGGAGCCAGAGGTCATGCAGTAACAGGTACAAGTCGGGTTTAGCCTTTTTTTGTCGAGCCCTTCAATGAATATTATTTTTTACCTTTTACAAAATCCATCAATTCACACAAAAGTTCGGGACAGAGGGGACAGAAGAGGACCCCCCCCCCCAAAAAAAAAATAGACTCCAAATTTTGCAAGAGCTGCATGTTTCTAATGTGCTTATAAAATAGTCACTTTATACATGTACCTTTTTGCAATTAAAGACATTTTTCTTCATTCAGGATTTCAAACATATAATATATGAAGAATTTTGTTTTCCAAAAACGCTGCGAATGCTTTTTCATCTCCTTTTGGAATCCCGCCCTCTCCTGGCTGCCCAAAGCCAGTTGTGATTGCTTATTAACCCTCCACATACATTCTGTGCCAAGTTGTCCTTTCGCTCATAATCAATCAAGTGACTGTTTTCAACTATTAAAAATTCCCAGACTACATAAAGCAGGATTGACTGGCTGAGACTGTTTATGTAACTTCCCTTACAAAACTTGACTGCTGTCATTTAGCATTCATTAAGCATTCTTTTAGCATGCATTTTAACAGGCGAATGCTATGAGAACTGCCATTTGATAGCATTCACAAAAAGCCATGTCTATACTTCCTAAAGCATTTTTATATAGCATTCTTTGAGGATAGCAGTCTGATAGCAGTTTTATAGCATGTCAAAAGCCCAAATTATGTAAATGAGCTATAGCATTCACATGCTATCGAGAATGCTATTTAGGCTTGCGAATGATTGTGAATGCTATAACAGCATTCACATGCTATGAGAATATTATTCACATGCTATTCGTATGCTATTAGGAATGCTTTGATAGCATGTGAATGCTATGTGCATGCTATGATGAATGCTTTATAGCATGTGCATGCTATGATACATGCTTTGTGAATGCTATCATGACTGCTATGGTGACATTGACGTGGGCATCCTACAACATACATTTTCTATTTCACAATTACTCGTGTATTAAGCTTTAATAATTTCATGTATTGAACCAGTTTTAACACAGCTAACACATTTTGAAATTCAAAAGACCTATGTACAGACTGTGATCAAAATATATAAAATAAGAAAATTGATCTTCAAGACTTTATCAGCCTCAAAATTGCTGCACAAACATGGGGACACTCTTTGTTTTTGTCTATAACATTGTCATGCTTATAAAAGCAATGGCCAGAAATATAATGCAACAATTATCTGCTTATAATTTGAAATTTTGGATTCTACATGCTCTGTGGTGCAATCTGAGGCGATTCCTGGCTCCTCTTCCCCGGAGTTATTGACTAATTTTTTTTTAAGATAATAAGATTTTTTCATTGATTAATATTACCCTTGCTTTTTACAAGCCTTCTTAGTTTCTTCTGTTCTTCACTTGATACCATGTATTTTCGTCTGCATGTCTTCGTGCAATATGTTTTTGAAAAAGGAATTGTAAAAACTTAGTTTGGTAGCTGGTGTAAGGATGCTTTCTATTAAATGTTCTGTTTGAAGTTGAAATTTTCAGTTATATCAACAAGAACAAACCGCTTGAACATGTTAATCGAATTCAAGTTAAAAATTAGTGTAATTTAATCAAACTTAAACAGAGGAGCAATTAGCCTCCATTGTAACTTCACAGCTCAGTTTTATCTCATGACTACAGAAATTAATCAAACGGTCATCCAAGTTTCTCCCTCTTTTTTTGCATAATGTAAAATGCCCAAACATTTTAAGGAAATTTACCTCGCTTGCAATTCAAAGAGCAACACACTTGCGTTTCGTCTAGCTTGCAAGAGCATGTCTTGAGTGCTAAAACTTGCTGAAGTTGGGCAATAACTGCTGATTGTTTTTGTCCTAAGAACAAACAGATCTCTTTTATGTACCAAAATTATCAGATTTGTATTTTCTGCAATGCCTAGTAACGTCAAAACCCAACTTTTGGATCTCAACGTTCTTCGTTAAAAAAATGTTTTATTGACTGATCCATGACCTTCAGGGGTGTTTCAATTTTTTCAGGGTTTTACATCGTTTCTCGAATAAAGTCTTTACGAATGATGACGTGACGTTGAAAAAGTCAATTTAAAACAAGGACATGTTTTGGACTCCGTGAAAAAGTATAATTTGTAATTCAAAAGCGCGTGGAACTGCTGGCAAATTGTTCTTACTATAACACACCCTTGACCAATGGTGTGGTCCAAAGAGCAATGCACAATGTGTGTTTGTCGCGCACAGCACATAAGCTGCATGTTCGTAGAGAATAAATCGTGTACGTTCTTACGAATCGGTTTAATAACGGTATATGCAGGGTAATACGCACGCACGTACGGGCTACGATGGGATCGTGGCTTATTTCGAAGCTTCTCGAGTTGAGTACGCAATGTTTGCAAGCTCAAATTTAATATCGGCACCGGTATTTTTGTCAGTAAGGAGGTTCCCTCCTCTCCTCCTTTTCTCTCACCTCCCCCTCTTTTTCCACCTTCTATTTTTTTTTTTGACTCAAATTTGACGGGGGGCACATGCCACCGCGGCCCACCCCGGGATCCGCGCCTGCATTGGTAGTACAAACTGTAGACTTACCAAATACAAGCAGTTTGTGAGTGTGCATACATGTGTATTGAGGCTCCATATTGCTTGGTTCAACTGTTGCGTTTAAGTTTCAGCCAGTCATCCAGTGTATTTTGTCATGTACAACAATGTACAGGTTGAGTGCATGCATGCATGTGAACATGAAATTATATCCACAAGCATTCATGCCATAAGGTAATGTCCATGCTTTCTACAATTTCTTGCAAAACTATGTGCAGCCTACTGCACTCTGCACTGACAATATTCAACTGACTGCAGTTTTCAAATTTCCCACACTGACTGTTATCTGTGGAATGCACAAGGCCATCACTGATCATGTGACTTGTAGTCCATGATATGATTGGCTTATATATTGAAATGCTATTGTGCAGGTTATGCTTAGCCAAGGAATGCTATACTTTAAAATTATTTTACAACTGACTGCTAAATTGGAATGCTATATACTCAATTTGCAGTCCTCCCTCTTTCACTTGCATGCTTTGCAGAATGCTTTGAAGCTCGCATACTATTTGGAATGCTATTTTCATTCTGCATGCTATTGAGAATGTTATATGGACTGCTAAAGTTAGCAGTCATCTAGTCATCATCCTCTGTGAATGCTATGTGGATGGTATAATAGCATGTACATGCTGTTTAAATGCTATTGAACTGCTATGCACATGCTAATATAGCAGTCTAGTTTGATACAGCTGTGCCTTGACTGAAGGTGATTGACAGTGTTGTTGACTCGAGTCCCTGACTCGGACTCGAGTGGGACTCGAGATGCTATTTTTTTGACTTGAGACTTGACTTGACTTGACTTGGGCAAAAATGACTTGAGACTTGACTTGACTTGAACAAATATGTCTTGAGACTTGACTTGAAAAAAAATATGACTTACTGACATTAACACATTTCTTCAAGTTACAAAAAAACACAAACCTCTGGGTGTTCATGCACACTAGCATAGTCGGTTGAAAAGAATGCAGATATACATGGCGAATTAGCAACCAGCATGCGAAAGCTAGGCATCCTGAGCCTGCCACACCTCATGTACATGACTAGCACTACGCGTGTGTTATGGACAACGTATCATACTCCACCTCGTGCATGGGAGGTGAAGTTTGTGCCGTGCGTAGTCTGAGCACCATCCATTGTTATAGAGCGGTCATTCCATAGAGACTATAGGCTACACGTACACATTAAGTGGTTTACCGTAAGCGTGCTAAATGCAACTAGGGTTTAAATGACTAGAAAACGGCTGCTACCCCCAATCCGCCATAAAGCAACAAGAATTCACATCATGCATTAAAGGGAATGTACAACATTTGCTTTTGCTGCAATTTTCAGAAATAAATGGATTTGGAGGTTTAGTATGTTATAGCAAATATTGCTAAAATGACTTGTTTCACGTTTTGGACTTTTAGATGCTGGAAAAACCAAGAAAACCAATCATGTTATTGTAGTCTGGTTCCCTGACCCCACTAAAGATGAAACGGAGCAAGACTTCGGGGAATTGTAAGGTCAGAGAATCAGTCTAGCAGGCTTGCACCCCATTGCAGGTTTGTAATCAATTGCAAAGAAAATGCGGAATAACTAATTAGGACAAATTAGGAACAGTTTTTGAAAAAAATGCAGTTTTCTCCAACGCAGCCTAGTCGGCAGACCAGCGTTGGAAAAATACAATTTTTCTTGAAAATGTCAGCACACCAGGAGCCACGATTTTACAGGATGCTTAAGACTGTTATTCCCTAACAATCCAGTAAGGTATTTTGTGAAAATTTGATCATTTCGTTTTGTGATGTTTGCAAATGTTGTATCTTCCCTTTAAATGAAAACGTTCAGAAGGACATTTTGTCAGACGTCCTTCAAACGTTCAACATGATGAATGTTTGAAAAGTATGATATTGTTTTTTTTTATCTCCTTACATGATGCACGCTTTGATAAACCCCATTCCCATCTCTACTCTGGCTCCATCGTTGAACACATAAACTGGTTCCCGCACGTAGTATGTGCATCTAATATTTAAACAAAAATGACTCGAGACTTGACTTGACTTGAAAAAAATTGACTCGGGACTTGACTTGACTCATGAAAAATTAACTTGAGACTTGATGTGGAAAAAATTTGACTTGAGACTTGACTTGACTTGGAAAAAAATGAGCCACCTGTGCCTACCGCTTGTCTTTTGTCTGTTGACTGTAATTATGACTAGTCACTGTGCTTGCTTGAAATTATTATGATCTGACTGTGGCTTGGCAGGGGAAGAGGATTTAGTTTTTGACTGTCTGTGACTGTTCAGATAGCAGGAGGATTAATTAAGAATACATGAAAACGTAGTTCAGAAATTATGGCTGTGATTTATACGTGTATAAATTTGTCATAACCGTGCAGTTTTTTCACATTTTCAAACGGATATAGCATTTTGGAAACCCTCTCT